AAGTACGATTAAGTGGTGGATCTAAATAATCAAAGAATGTATTTATGGTTTGAGGAATTGTAGAAGCCAGTTTGCTCCCAACGCTGGCGAAATATTTGTTAAGAATATTGCTTATTTCCTTTGGGTCACTAGTTGGAACCTCATTCAGGTTTGAGCGAATAGAGTTAGTTGAGTTGCGCTTGTTTTTTCTTTTACAGTTTCCAATTAGCTTGTTAATTCCCTTCCAAGTTTGACGCATATTACATATGTTGAGGTCAAAGAAACTTTGGTAGTAGTTCGCTTTACTTAATCTCATAAGATAGATGATTTTATTTCTGTAAAATTTGTATTTGTCCCAGTCTGAGGTATAGGAGAGGTTGTTCTTTACCCTGATTGATTTTCTTAAACCCGCAGTAAGCCATGGTTTAGGAAGGAATTTTTGTTTACGATTGGATATACTTCTTAAAGGGGCGTGTTTGTTAATTGTCTTGTTGACGCATTTGTAAAACCTGGAGAATGATTGATTGGCATCAGTATGTTTGCAAATATTATTCCAATTAATATTCTGCAAGTCGTCAATCAAAGATTTTGCATTGAAAGTAGAATAGTCACGAACCTTAGTTTTGTTGTTTGGAAAGAATGGTTTACAGTGCGATGTCACAGACGTAAACATACATACATTTTATGTGTCTAGTGTAAAAAACTTATTTTTAAGTTGTTAATACTATTTTTTTTGTTGTGGATGTTTATATTTCAGGTCCAGATTTATAGCTCTAGTACACACCAAGTAATCAAGTCCTTTTCAAGGTTTAAGGGTGGAGTTTTTAGTGGAAGCTTTCGTCGTGATGGGAAATTGATAATTACTGGAGAAGCTAATGGTCATGTGCAGGTACTTGTATTCTCAAATTTAAATTGTGACAAACAACAAATTCTTCTCTTCTCATGTAATATTACTGGTACTGGGCAATACTTACAGGGCTGAATAATGTACTGGGCACAGGGCTCGAACTTGGCAGTGGTCTACTAGCCAAATACCAGTAGATTTTGATTTTTGGCTAGTGGATTTAGCTCATTTACTAGCCATCTTGGCTAGTTAAGTTTCGCTCCTGTAAACAACATAAGCCTTGATATGTTTTCAACATTTTCCCAGTTGATCCGCACCTTCTAGTAACCTCTTATTTCATTCCCCCATTAACAACTGGCATGAATAAAAGAAAGAAAAGTAATTCTACATAAGAACAAGATTTGTTAATTTGGTTTTCAGTTTCGTGTTTATTCGCTGCCATCTTGAAATTTTTGTATGACCAAGGAGCATGGGCCAAGTCGTTCCCATGATGCAAAGCTAGCCAAAAAACAAATGTCCGCCATCCTGACATGCAAATCTACGATCACAGTCCACGCGTGATTGTCATGGTTAGGGCATTTCTGTCGTCAAATAAAACAACTAAAGGTCTAAAGAGAGCAAGCGATGATTCTGCTGGAGGCAGCAAGTCTACATGTAAATCTTCATCGAAAAGAAAATTTGTACGGACCTGGCTGAAAGACTTTCCATGGCTCACATACGATGTTGAAGCAAGCCAAATGTTCTGCAAATTGTGTAGAGACAATACAACTTGCAGTGACTCATCCTCTACCTTCGTGTGTGGCAGTCAGAACTTTAAAATAGAATCTGTGCGAAGCCACGAATCTTCAACTGGCCATACTCGCTGTGTTGCGGCTGCTAAAGTTGCCAAGAATCCACAGCTGGCTCCTTTACCACGAGCTCTGTTGTCAATGTCAGAAGAAATCTCTCAGAAGATGGAAAGACTGTTCGATATATCTTATTTTGTTTCCAAGAGGGAGATGCCATTTACAACCTTTCCCCATCTGTGCAAACTTGAAATGAAACATGGAGTTGAGCTTGGAAACACCTATATATATGACAAAGCATTCAAAACTTTTGTGATGTCCATTGCAGGACAGTTAAAGCATGAGCTTTCAAGCAAGCTTCAGTCATCAAAGTTCATAAGTGTAATGGCAGATGTTGCATGTGATGTTGGGAGTACGCAAACTATTTCCTCACAGAAGTAGGGGATGCTAACACATTTAAGGGTATAGAGCTTGAAAGGGATCCTGCAGACAGGCAGGCTATCATTGCTATCCAGGCATCTGTGGTGAATGCTGCCATGACATTCATCCAAGGAGGTTTGAAGGGATGACAACAGATCCAGTTTTGTCAGCAGCAGCTGTCCTGACAAACCACCGAGGTTGGCCAGTTGCAGACAGGCATCTGCTGCTCTTACATGGAGAAACTGAAATTCAGACAGTACATGGTCATTTTCAGGTACCTCTAGTGTACCACAACTTTAGTCTGCAGGACTGCCTTGATGAGTGGATGAGTCTAAAATTCCATGTGCAACGAGTTAGAGGAGAACTTGAGCTCAAGCAAAGTGACTTCTGGAAGAATAAATTTATGCTTTGTAAAGATGATTATCCAAACCTACTAATTTTAGTCTAACTCTGTCTTGCAATTCCTTGCCAGACTACCTGTTGTGAGTGTGGAAACTCTTGCATGAACAGAATCATGACTGACTGGAGGTCAAGCTTGAATGTTTCTACTATTGATGAGTTGTTGAGAATAGTTATAAGTGTCCTGGGGTAAAGTGAATGAGCAGCTCTATAATGATATTATTCTCAAGGAAGAGACCCTGCCCTACTACGTCCATTGCCACACCTATGGTCATCACACCCTGGATTGTCCCACTCGATCAAAGCCTGACCAGCCTTTCGTCCCTTCTCATCACGTACAACTGCTCCCTCACCCAACACCTTTGGCACAGCCTCCAACACTCCACTTCCATCCCGCACTAAGCACCCAAGACCTAACAGATCTGGAAATGTTACAAATATTCTAGTCCTCTGCAGCGCATTACCACGGCTTGTTGTCTGGCCGACGCAGCGAGTGCTTGAAAATTGAGAGAGATATTAAATTTCGATTGCCCTTGTAGAAGCAAAACCGTGCAAACATCATTTACAACACCACAAGGACAAGCAATGGACATTATTTATCTGAGTCTTCGAGGCACACGCTTGAAGACAAAAATTTTTCCTTTCTTGTTGTTGTTGTGTTTTTAGAGACATCAATGAAACTTCAACTGAAGAGGCATGTTTAGAACTTGACATTTTATCTTTTAGAACTTTGCATTGCCAAGCAGCAAATGTCTATGGGAAGACTATATTATTCGATAGGGGGTAGACAGATGACAAAGGATTTTTTTGTCTTGCTCCATCTGAACTTGGATATGGTTTTTAGGAATTCAACTCCAGGAGAGTTTCGCATGTATTTGACAAGGTGATCGTGTTTCGAAGAACACGAATTCCACATTATAAGTGACACTTGCACTTTGCTGCCTTAATGTTTTGAGGATGCATGCTTGAAATAGTAAATAACATAAGCCTTTGATTGCAAAGTGACGTTAAGTTTTTCTGTTCCCATGGCGAAAAAGGTTGGTTTAATTTCTTACATGCTTCATATGTAATTCGTCATGGGTAAAATAAAAATAAAAATACTATATTTCAGGTTTTCGTGTACATTCTCATAAAACTTTCTGAGAAGCTCCAAATATTAAACTTCCAGCTCTACCGCTATCAAAATAGTGTTAATTTTAGAACACACCAGTCTGTACTTGACAGCCGGGGTTGACAGCTCAGCGAGAGATAACTCTTTCACTAGGAAGATAATACAGAGAGTTTTTTATTTACAAATTACACTTCGAGTCTATGATAAAGAGTTCTAACACTAATTTTAGATCCTGAGTGATTTTAGTAAGCAATGAAACCATATACACTGACAATTGTCGCTATGTCAGCAAGTTTATTTTAAGATCTTGAGCATCACGGGCTGAAGTGCTGAACATTCTTTAGGGCTGTTTGTTTACATTTTAGCATAGTTTACAATTACCTTGTATTTTTGTGTCTCGGGTTACACAAGGAAAGAAGAATCCGGAATATGAGAGTGAGCAAACCTTAAACCACAGTTTCACATGAAGCAAAAGGGATTTCTGATATTGATTTGTTAATTGGTTAGCTAGCTGTATAAATATTTTCACTCATTTATTTTAGCGTGAAATATTGACTCTCTTGATCGTACGTGTATGCAAATTTATTTCATATTGATTTTTGTTGTTGTTAAATGCAGGCGAGCACTCTGATTTTCAATTTGTCATGTACACATGGGAAGCAAAAACCTAAAAAAGAGTAAGCAACCAGTATTCTGTATCATGCAACGCAGACATTCATTCGTCGTCGGGTTAGTAGTAATATTTTACTCGCCAGCATTAAGTGAGCATTAAGTGTAAACATACCGTTGATATTTGCGTACATCAATTTCTTTATCGCCAAATTCGTCACTGTTTAATAAAATTTAATGTAGGCTCTTATTTTCAAGTCTCTAAAAATGGCTGGTATTCTTCTGGTGTATGAACGCATAATAAGCAGAACCCACGTCGCCAAAGTTATCTTGATTTATGTCCTTGGTGCTCTTAATTAAACAAGGGATTATTGAGCTACCTCAAACCTGAGAATTTGTTTTGTTTATCATAGCAATGCCACACAAAGCAAAGCTGTTTTAGTGTATGACAAAAGAAAAATCTTTCCCTGCCTGACACATGTAGGCATCAGCACTGACACGTCCATGCGTCTGTGTCGCGTTTGCATTGTTTGCTTAATTCTGGCTTGCACTGTAATGTTGAACAATTTCTGTAAAACGGCTGTTCTGAAAAAATATGAATATGAATTGTAAGCCAAGGTTTCATTCCTAACAATTCTACTGAAAAAAATTGAGGGTGTTACATGCATCTACATGGGCTAGAACCTTTTTAAAAAATTTTCTTTACATTTGTCTGTAAAAATTCCTGTTCCGGCCAACTTAAATTTCCCAGTAAAAATTGCAGACAAATATATGGAAAATCTAAAGCAAGCGTCTGGAGAAACTTAAGCACAGTAACGGCCCCCAAAATTTGTTAGAAAAATCCTTTGCTGTGTAGCTTTACAGCTGTTTTACAGAAATTATTCAACATTAGATTCTCATACAAACACTGTAATTTCTCATGCGTTTGTCTACTCATCACCATTGCTTCCAAAACTGTGTCAAGGCCTATTACTTTTGCTTCTCGTCTGGTAAGTTTGCTTGCAGTACCTGGGGTTGTGTAAAAGCACACTAAGTTACACGCTTGCGTGTGGTGTTTCCTCGTATGCCAGCTTTTGTTATTGAAGGTTAACACGCTTTCTATTTTAGCCTGCTCACGTTTCATTGTTTTATGGCACACTCTTTATTGTCTTTATTGTGTCATGTGAGACAAAAGCGTAGGCTCCTTTAAGTGTGCTCTAGCGTGCTTTTAAGCATCCCCTCCCAGGACTCTCCCAAAGTGCCCTGTGTGTCTCTTAGGCCTCTACTCTTTGTGTTTTCGTCTAATGCCCTGTGGTTTTAAACTGTTTCTGGAATCTCTACAGCTCTTTGTATTCATTGTGTTGCGGAATGCATAATTTTTCTTTGTGGAGCACTGCGTTACTTCTGGTGATAGCCTATTCCAAGTGTTCAGACATTAGAAAATGGTGCAAAATAGAGCCAAGGCAAAAAAAACAAAAGAAATGAAGAGAGAGAGAGAGGAGGGTTTCTTTCCCCTCTCTCCGTACTCCCAATGCTTTTTTGTCTGCTTACTTTTCTGTGCACTGTCCCAACTATATGGATGCCTCTAATGGGCTTTTCTAGTGCCAGTGGACTCCCGCTTTGGCCGTTAGAAAGAATGGCACCATCAATGTCTCAAGGTAATGGTCGAGTTTCGTTGTCGGTCCAGGAGAATCAACATGGACTAAGAGAAGCATTGGGTGGTTTCGCTGGGTAGGACACTTACTCGGTGGAGTACTACGCAGAATTCACAGTGAGGTAACTGAAAGAATGTGTCTCCCAATATTGTCCAGGTCAGTGTCGGACAAGTTGGAAAAATTATGCTGGTGACCAAGTGGCAGACCAAATTCTTGCGTCCGCTGAGTAAGTGTCCCAGGAGACATTCCTAGCATCCTTGCAATATCTACCTAGTGAAACCACAATGCTTCTCTAAGTCCATGGATTTGCTCTTGCCTAATTTTGTATCTTATAGGCCTCCCAGCATTACCTGACCTTTCGAGAGTAAACAACCGTGAATTCTGCGTAGTATTGGTCTCTTCTGTACTGCCTTGATAATGAAAGTCACTATATAGTGTTGCAAGTGATTGTAATCTGGAGTCCATTACCTGCATTAAAAGTTCCAAATACTGCATAAGTTGATTCCCCTGGACTGACAACACAACTCAACCATACATCATCCGCAAAGTGCGTTGATATTCCTCTAGGCGTCTTGCAAGAAATTCTGCATGCCCCCCATTGGTATTTTTGTTCAGACAGTCCCCGCACTGCTGCAAAAGGGAGAGCAAACATTTGCATTTGGAATATAGAAAGGATTAGAAACCATCTTGAATTCCAACCTGTGTGCTAGTTTTCAGTCCCTCTTGGAGACAGAACTGATCAAAAACTGTAGTCTCTCTTCTCGATCTAAAAATTTAGTAAACGTATCTCTTGATACATGACAAGAAACACGTAGGAAATGAGATTAAATTCTACAATCTTGACACATTCAAAAAGCAAGTTAATACAAAATTGTTGCATCTTTGATATTTTGTCACTTTTGGCGCAGCATACTGGCATCTGGTTGAAGCAGTGGGTCTGTTCACTGGTCTGTTCACAGTTGACAGTTTCAGTTAGTCAATCATTAACCAGATCACTATAATTTTGCTGAATCCCACTTCCTGGGTAGCAGTAAAATCCTGTTTCTCACCAAGATATTTTACTTTTTCCCAAATCCTGCCCCATATTTTGATCAAATCCCAGATACCAAAATTACCCTTCGAGATTCTTTTGTTAAGCCAGATTTGACAAGTCTCTTCAGTTGATGTAAAATTCAAGTAGCTTTGTTTTGTTCTTATGCTTCAGCTATTTGATGTCCATTCAAGATGTCTGTTACGAGAATTTCAGGAACACAGCAAGTAAGTGATTGTAACATGGAGTTTTGAAGATACATAGAACAATGTTTTTTAACCCAATTTCCCTTGCAGTGTTTTGTGAAATTCTCCATTCTGAAGGTAGTCTTTTTTATGTGTCAAGTGCCAATTGTTTGTTTAACTCTAGACCTGGCTGGTTTTGGGCATTATATTCATCATTTCATTGCTAAATCAGAGTGCTTTTATACATATTGGTAGCAGAATTATATAAGAAGCATATAACCCCGAAGTGCATAACTCTGTTCTGTGTTTTTTTGGAGAACCAATCAGGATTTACTCCCTGTTATGGAATCACTGATACGCAAGACTGTAGCACTTGTGTTATGAAAACTTTGTATCACGATGTGAACAAAGCACTACCAAGGGTAATTACAATATTTATTTTAAGAAGTTAAATTTGACCAAAATAGGAATTCAAAATGGCCAGGATCGACTTACTCTGAACCGTCGACAAAGCCAACTAATCATGATAAGCATCTTACGAGCCTGGCTTACATGTAACTTGATGTCGAAAGCTAGCACATGCTTAAAAGAGTTTGCATCAAGATTACATGACCTTATGTTTTACCTGATAGGTTAGCATATATCGTTATGGTGGTCAGACACATCCATTAGTGGTCATCCAATTTATGAAGCTACATGTAAATGCCAAAATGGCCAATTTGGATCAAACAAAGGAGGTTTTAAGGGTACATAGAAACAGACAAAGTTATTTGCTGTCGGAACAATACTCAAAAGTAACCTGAATAGAAATATTATTATTAACTATAACTTAATATTTATGCTATAAGTTCCTCTCCTTTTTTATAGAAGCAAACGCGGTCATGGTTCCTTTAGACTCTAGGCTCCAAATAATTTATTATTCTTAGTTATCACATTGTAAATTTGTTATATATAAAACTTTTTTCTTGTAATAATTCTCTGTGACTCAATAAAAAAGATTGTTGTTGTTGTTGAAAGGTGACAGCAAACCTCGTATAACAAGAGTGACAATAGTTTTGTTTGAAAAAACTTTCTGCCAAACTTCACCTTGCTTGAAACAGATCTTTTTGTAAAAGACCAGAAAAGATTAACTTAAGTGAAGATCATGAAAAAACACACAATTATTAGCCCTTTCTTGTTTGTCACACACAAGAGCTTTGCGGTCCTCTTTTTTCAGCCTTCCTGTTGTGTATACTAAACTCTCTATAAAGAGCAACGCACAAAGTCCGTTCAGAATAAAATATAGGGTGTTTTACAATGAACACTAACATAGAAAACTACTTATTGAGCACAAAGATTTTCTTACAGAAAGTATTTGGAAATGAAATTATTTGTACTGGCCGTAGTGCAGCTTAGTGTGTGCAAAATGACAACTCACTTGTTGGCTCCACTGTCTGTTAATATAAATGTTTTTGTGCCTTGATTATGTTACACAACAAAATGTTTTAAATGTCTAAACATGTACTATTAAGTTGTGGATGTACTTGGAGAACTTGTAAGGACTTAAGGTGACTCGACCCACTTATTTTGTGAGGGCACCATCGTACTTTGCAGCACTCTGGTATCCCGACCTTTACTCTGATAGTAAGTCTAACATATAGCATGGATAACTTATAGATCAATCTACAATACAGCATAAAATTTTTGGTGATTGGAGTAAATGTCACGTGGTTATAGTGCCACGCCTCTTTGGGGTCTGAGTCAAAATTCTGCTGTTGCCAGTATTTTTTCGTGAAAATCTCTCGGCTACATATAGTGCGTATTAGTGCCTTGCGTTGAACATAGTTTCACCAAAGTCGCAAAGACCCAATGCGAGAAATTCAGCAGTTTCCAAATTAAGGTCATAATTTATGCGAAAATGATAAGCAAACTTTACACGATTATAACCAATAAACTATGAGATTTATCCCTTTATTTTAGGGATGTTTATAACAGATGGGTCCTTGCAAGTCAGCAAAAAGCTTTAGGTCCTTGCGAATGCGCGTGATTTCGAGCAATGCAAAAATATACAAATTATAGTTTTAGCTATTTGTTGACATTTATCAGCGTTTAAGAGTCCTCACGAAAAAAGCCTTTTCTTAAAAATTCGTAGTTTTTTTTTTCCTTCAAATTTTTTCAGGGCCACAATTGGTTAACTAACTACCCGGATTCTGAATTTCATGATCATTGAAAAACTGTGACATTATCTTCTATAAGCCCAAACTTGAGTAAACATTGAAGATTTTTAGCGTTTTGGCTGAGTTTGTGTTTTGGAGTTTTCTATTGTTTCTACTCTGTCATAATACAGCATTCTTGTTCAACACGCATGCACGACACAGCGTTCACCGCGCTTGGCTGACTTCCGAATGCGTACGGTGAGACAGTCGATGGCGTGATACACAGAGGTTTAACTCACGGTTTTAAATCAATTCTTGTGCTTCTTGTGCCTTTGCAAAAAAATCAAGAAATGCTACACACTAAAATTACTTACTATTAAAAAAATGTGACCTCTCACGCGAAAACGTACACTAACAGCTTTCCGTTAAACGGGTGAAACGCACGGCTTCCAAATGGGTTGCAAACGGCTCATTCACCCGTTCGAACGGGTTCATCGAACGGCTGAACGGTTTGTTAAGTTTTTCGAATGGCTAGCACGAACGAGTGAACGGCTCACTCAACCGTTTGAACGGGTTCATCGGACGACTGAACGGGTTACTAAGTTTTTCAAACGGCTAACACGAACAGGCGAATGGCTTACCTACCCGTTCGAACGGCTCATCAAAATTTCCGAACGGGTTCCCCAAATGACTGAACAGCTTACACTAAAAATTACGGCAGGTACAAAACGCACGTCACAGGGCACAGGGCACAGGTCACAGGGCACAGGGCACAGGTCACAGGTCACAGGTCACAGGGCACAGGTCACAGGGCACAGGTTACAGGGCACAGGTTACAGGTCATAGGGTACAGAAAACGCAGTAAAAACAGTTAAGACACTCCATTAGGCTTTTTTGTTTTATTTCCGGTTACGCCACAATCAGGCATATGCTTGCCATCGACCATACTTTCCGGTTTTGTACTGAGGGTTGAACAAGTAAATGGCTAAAGTTACACATTGTATTGGAACTTGAGGAGTTCCTTCTCTGGAGATCGCGAAACGAGGCTTTTTCTTCGCTCCACGCGAGTGGACTTGGAACGAGGCTCTGAGAGGAGAATGGAACGGAAAATAGCCTCGTCTGTGCAGAAAGCAACATGGCGGAAGACCAGAGTTTCGAGGTAAGAAAACAGCACTTGCTGACAAGTTATTTTGGCCTCAGTTCCACTGAAGAACTGAAAAATAACTTAGTGAATTATCAACACACGTCTACTTCGCTAACTATCGACTGTGCTGCAATCGTGAATTGCCAATTTCGGTTTGTTGCTGCGTACATTGATGTTTAAGACTTAAGTTGTCATTAAGTTGAGCAATGGAAACATGGGATGATTCTAGCCGTAGTTACCAAATAGTGACACCTTTTAGACCAAGACCGTTTGCATAATTTGAAAGTTTTTTATATAACTATAATCTTCAAAACCTAACGTACTTGTTCGGTATCGCTGTTAGCAGTCCATGCATCAGGACCGAGCTTTGTTCCATTTTATCACGCGAATGAAAGAAGATGTATAGGATATGCAATGTGGCTTTGATCATTTCTGTTTTCATTACTTTTTTTTTAATTCTACAGGAAACAGATTACAAAGAAGCCGAGCTCGCCTCACAAGGATCTTCTTGGAGATTTCCCTCATCTTTGCTGGGATATACTTTGGTAGGTTTTCATTTAGCTTTTTAAGCTTGCTATCGAAAATAAACGGCTTTGCATGTGGCCAATGTATCTCCTTGGGTGTGTGAAGTTTTATTGCTTTGGAAACCAAGATTAAGAAAAGCGCACCCCGTCCCATACGAGTTATGTATTTGTTGTCTTTACGCATGAGGGAAGAGATTCAGGAAAAAGCATAATTCACAACAAGTAAAGAAATTTTATATTCTTAAATCATCTTAAATCTTCTTGCATTGTATGGTTGACTATCAACGTATTTTTAACAAATTGCTAAAGATACACTTGAAAATACACCTTATTTGGTTGTGTCCGACATAACCTGCAACATCTGTAACTTCCATGAAAATAAACTCCTTGTATGAGGGTTGGGGTAGAAGCCAAATTTGAACATTCTTTTACAGAATTAAGGACGCTAAGCAAACTAGAACGACATAAATGTGAACATCATTGCAAATCCAAAGGTTTCATGACTAAAACAACTTTCGCGAGCGTTTTGAAACTGTGTAAATTTGTTACAGATATAGACGATAATTTTTTTCATCGACGTTTTGTTTAACGTAGTCCTCGTGATTGATTACGGTCCCTATTATCTGGCATAGGTGACCCCCTTTACATTTTAGCATTTGGTCATTATCATAATATCAACAGTTCTAACAAAACTCTCGACGGACACTTCTATACCAAAACACCAAATTCCCGAGATAGATGGCGCTTATGAACTTCGCTCATCTGTTCACTGATAGGCTCGGTGATTGTTATATTCCTTGGTAGGATCTTGTCACACTTTGCCAGCACACACGTTTTTCTGACATGGTAATACACACTTTCTGGATCCCGGCTGACCTGAAGTGAGATTTTCATAAACCATAAATCTTGTGTAATTGTCTATTCGCTTTAAATGTACTGTAAGAGTAACTCTTTCATTGCAACATTATTAAAAAGCCTGACTCACTGGTATTTACTAAGTGGCACATCATTTTATCGTTGATGTGACAGGGTACCAACCTTAAGCTGAATCGTTCCCTTCTTCTGATAGACCCTTCTTTCGCGATGCTTGAGCATCAAATCGTATGGTGCAGGAGGTGGTGCATCACTAGGCTTGTTTCTTAACTGCAAGACAATGTATATTAGAGATTATTAATTCTTCTACTCCCATACCGGCATACTGAGCCTGTGATTAAAACGTTAACTGTTTAAATAAAAGTCGTTTTAATTTTTAAGTATCTGTTAAAATCGTCTCCATATACTTCTAAGTCGTAATTGCAATTACCTTTGATCCACAGCCATAGCAAGTCAACGCCTTAGTGTCCTTTACAAAGACAACCTGATACTCGTCAGGTGGAATGGTTGGCGTCACTGATGGAAATCTCTCAGAAAATCCCGCGGTGGATCGTTCCTCTCTGTGCGTTTTTCTGGTTCTTTTCCTGCCTTTTTCGTTTTCTTTAAGGCCTGCTCCACTTGGCATACTCTCCTGTAGTTGGCGAGTGATGTTTGGTGTCCAATCAGAAAGTACTCGTTGTAAGGAGCCCATCTGGAAGGATACTGCAAGTACATGTGAGCAGAGACCCTTGTGCTTGAACCCTTCGCAATCACAGACTGGCAATTTCCTATCAGTGACCCTAACAAGATGAAGACTATCACTTGTCGTGGACATGACCACTTTATTCG